GAGCTCAGCCGCTGATTTAGCCGGGGTCATGTTCGGGGAAACCATCTCTCTACCTTTTTCTGCAAAACAAAAGAAGAAAGTTAGAATAGTCTAAGCATAATACAGGCGGATGAAAAGGCCGGTTGTCTATGACGTACGTTTGGTAAACATGGTACTCAGACCGCAGGCGGAGAGAAACGCCTCGTCTCCAAACCATTCCGGATGAGGAACCCAAAATTTGGGCACGATGATATGTGTCCCGTCATCCAGGGGCATGGTCGTCTTCTTAAAGAGCCCCGGCTCCATAATTTGATCCCAGGCCTCTCCCGGTATCTTTGGGAGGGCGCACTTCTTCCCAAGAAGCAACGGCTGCGTGTTGTAGGTACGCAGCCTCCGGTTCTGTTGGAGAGACGGTGATGACACCAAGTAGAATTTACTCTTCCAACTTGACCACTTGGACGGCTTGTCCAGGGTCATCATGAACTCCGGATGCGTGGTCAGGGTATACCACGCATTCCAGCCGCCTGGGGCATGGCTCAGATAGTGCATATGTGCAAACGCCTCCCAGCTAGGCGTCACGTCCTGCATCTCGCAGGCGGCAATGTATCCCAAAATATTCACCCAAGAGTTGGGTGTGAGCTGCCAAACGCCTAGGTCATACCCCCTTAGTATGGCCTTGATTGCTCGATGCAGGGGGAACCGGAGACCGGCTTTGAAGGCCGCCTCATAGCAGCCAAAGTAGTTGTCCGCATGATCCCGGATGTCATCCCAGACAATCGTCGCCTCAGCCGGCGGCACTACTAGGTCCCAGCCGTCCCCTATTGGTTTCTTTGCCAAGAAAGTCGGCAAAGTGGCGTTTAAAGTAACAATGTCCCGGGCGCTCATTGACGCCTCAGTGGGATTATTTATGGACGGCCACTTGAAGGCGTCCTTGTCCACTTCTTGGACATCCGGCTCCCCGGATGTTGTGGCAAAAGAAGAAGAGGCGGATCTCTGAGCAGCATCCTCCTCACCAGATTCAGACCCCTCTAATATTCTATCACTTGGTGTACTGGGTACACCCGGTTGGTCGTAGGGGATGTCTTCAACCGGAAGTCCGGCTGAACCTTCAGACTGGTAATCCAGATCTACCGCCGTCCATCTTGTGCGGGCCATTCTGTCCTGCACATGAGTAGAGATGGTCGGATTTTTATCACAAGAATGGACCAAACACTTCCAGGCGGCATCCCCAGTCCTAGACTCAGCCGTACTTGGTGACCGGTTGACATCAGTTCTAGGTTGTGCCAAGTGTGTGTTGGGTAAGTCCATTTCTAACTACCTAGTTAGCCGGAAAATTGACAAGAGAATGTAAGGATTGCAGGCGGTACCTTGGTACTGAATTGAAAGTTGAAAAGTTGAAGGCTGATAGTAGCGCTGCAGACAGTCTCAACAAATGCCTGCAAAAAATGATCAAGTAATCAGAATTCAGAAACTCACCCAAAAACACCCCATCCGGGTTTGGTCAACGTTTTTGGTCAAACTTACCCAAAAACACCCCATCCGGTTCTGGTCAACGTTTTTGGTCAAACTTACCCAAAAACACCCCATCCGGTTCTGGTCAACGTTTTTGGTCAAACTTACCCAAAAACACCCTATCCGGGTTTGGTCAACGTTTTTGGTCAAACTTACCCAAAAACACCCCATCCGGTTCTGGTCAACGTTTTTGGTCAAACTTACCCAAAAACACCCATCCGGGTTTGGTTAACGTTTTTGGTCAAACTTACCCAAAAACACCCCATCCGGTTCTGGTCAACGTTTTTGGTCAAACTTACCCAAAAACACCCCATCTGGGTTCTGGTCAACGTTTTTGGTCAAACTTACCCAAAAACACCCCATCTGGTTCTGGTCAACGTTTTTGGTCAAACTTACCCAAAAACACCCCATCTGGGTTCTGGTCAACGTTTTTGGTCAAACTTACCCAAAAACACCCCATCTGGTTCTGGTCAACGTTTTTGGTCAAACTTACCCAAAAACACCCCATCCGGTTAAAACCGGATGGGGGTTTATTGAAAGCTTTTGAGAAAAATATAATGACTCAAAAGCACCCCAGACGGTTAAAACCGGATGGGGGTTTATTGAAAGCTTTTGAGAAAAATATAATGACTCAAAAGCACCCCAGACGGTTAAAATCGGATGGGGGTTTATTGAAAGCTTTTGAGAAAAATAAAATGACTCAAAAGCACCCCAGACGGTTAAAACCGGATGGGGGTCTATTGAGAGCTTTTGGAAAAATTTAGAATTCCTCCAAAAGCTCCCCAGACGGTTAAAACCGGATGAGGGCTTATCAAAGGGTCTTATGAAAGGCCTTTATCTACCCAAATGCCCCCAGACGGCTAAAACCGGTTGGAGGTACATTGAGTAGCCTTGGAAAAAATGGGGTCATTCAAAGATCCCTCAGCCGGTCATAACCGGATGGTGGTCCTTTGAGAGCCTTGAGAAGCAACCCAGAAATTCCTCAACAGTACCCCATGTGGTTTATACCGGATGGGGGTCTATTGAGCAGATATAACAAGTTTTCCAAGAATCACCGGTTGTTCAAAAATAAATAAATCCGGCTGCTACCCTAATCTATGGCAAGCTAACCTCACCGGATAAGTATGCAAAAAGGGTTGAAAGTTACCTCAGCCGGAAGATTGCGGGTGTCTTGAGTCAGGAAATGATGCAAAGCCGGATGTGAAAAACAAGGAATGATTGGTGTTTACTCTCAGCCGGTATCAGAGCTCTCTTCTTGATTTTATGGAAATTTGCAAATGTTGCAAATGATTGAGGAAGGACTCCTTATATAGGGGTCAGGGAAGGCGAATCGCCATCTCCCTGATTCAAAATTCAAAAATTGGGAGGATGACGAACCGTCACCTCCCCTTCCCAAAAAAAAAAAAAAAAAAAAAAAATGGAGGGAAGGAGACCAACCGTCCCCTTCCCCGCATTGTGACAACTGTCACGCTGATGTTGCGTGGCATGCCATGTCACAGATGCCACGTGGCACGCCACGTGTCATCTGTGAGGGGCAAATGATTAGGGTAAAAATACCCTAGCCACGTGGCCCAATCAGAGAGTGCCACGTGTCAGTCCTAGAGAGGGCAAGTGGGAGCCAATCCCAGGCTGACACGTGGCACATCCTTACTGGTGGGGATACAGTTCCCCAACCCTATAAATAGAGTTAAATACCTCATTTATTGGGCATTCAGAAATTCAAACACAAAAGCACAAAAGCCAAACAAGCATTTATTCTCTCTGAATCAGAGAGAAAACCATTTTTTATCTCGCACTATTCACTTCGAACGAATTCTAATTTGATCGTCGGAGGCGGAACTCCATCCAACCGGAGTTTCGTTGTTTTGCAGGTACACAGCCGGTCAACAAGCTAGTCTCGGAATTGTAACTCTCCCGCAGGACACAGAAAAAACCCCGAAACAAATTTTGTGCAAAAGATCAATGTAACATCAGTCAATGCATTTGCACTTGCTTCCAAGACCTATGTTGCTTTACATCACAACATGGAAGGATGTCATTGGTGATGGAAACTGTGGCTTTCGTTGTGTGGCTGACTTCTTCTTTGGTGATCAAGCGCAATGGTTTACCGCTCGGGAAACAATAGCAAACGAGGTCGTCGCTCATCCAATGTTGTACGAAAGGATTTACGGGATTGGAAGGGTTTGGATGAATGTAGAACGTATTCGATGGGATGGTGAGGCGGTTGATTCACGGCATTGGATGGTAGCAATTCTAGATTTATTTCCTATTTCTACTTGGTTCAACACAAGGGTGATTCTTCTCAGTGTAGGCACCGTATCAACCTGCTACTACCCCCATGCATCACGGTGTTATCGTTGCGCGCACGAAACACGGTCAGGGCACCTACTCAAGAGTTCGTGATCGCTACAGTTGGCGAGTCACATTTCATCCGTCTTGATCTTGCAACCTCTTCCCCCGGTTGCAGGTTGGTGGACCGAGCACCACGAGCCAAGTGTTGATGGATGGGATTAGCAATACGAAGTTAGAAGGAACATGTGGGATGCATTAATTAGGTAGTGAACTCATTTATGTACTTTCACTAAGGTTGAACAGTTTTAGCTATGTAATATAGATTAATAAAAGTAAATAAACTAAGTTCCAACAAAACCAAATATGAAAGTGTTTAGTTCTTACAATTACATGCCGAATACAAAGTAATATAAAAATGCAACCACTAATACAAATAAAGGGTAATGTACAACCCCATCATCGTCTTCCAGTCAACTATCAGCTGCTCAGTCATTGCCCTTGTTTCACGCGACATTTTGGGATACTCATCCAGTGCTCTTTGGTGAATCTCCATGGACCGACTCATCCACTGCAAATAAGAAAACAACATATTATAGAAATTACAATTACTAGAATTCGGATTAATAGTATAATGAAACACAACTACTTACATAATCCGTGTTAGTCCTCTTAGGTATACTGCTACTCCCAACTGATGAACCCCTAGGAGATAGACAAGGGTGAGAAAATCTATACAGCCACTGCATGTAACCAGGAGCGACCGTAGGAGCTCGACGACCAAGTCTGGTGTGGGTACCTAAAATTACACTGAAAGACGAACCAGGGACAAACCTAGTCCACATCACAGATGTCATCTCCGTCGAAAATTCTACCCGATACATCTTCAAGTTGGTCGGTCTCTTGACCTTCTTAGGCCTAATAATGGTCCTTGGAATGTCCTGCATGAATCCAAGTTGTCGAAGCACTCGATCAAGCATGTACGGCTCAATGATTCTACGGTACTGGATGCAGCCAATAAATAAAGTGGGTGGCACGTGTCGTGCAGGATCAACTCCATACGGGAGGCAGTTAACCTCACGGTCAGTCAGCTCATCCAGTCTAGCACAAAAGGCTAAGAAGCGCTCCATGCTCTTGTTAGGGTATCCCGATCCAACATTCCAAGCAGACGCACGAGGGATATTAAGCTCCCTCATCAAGGTACCCTGCTAAGGCCAAAATCACAGAAAGTTCTCGTAAATCCACGCTTGCAGAAGCGGCGTGAGACAACCAGCGATCGAATCAGCATCTTTTCGTGAAGCCGTACCCAATTGCTGATACAGGTAGGCTAGAGTAGCTGAACCCCAAGAGTACTCATTAATCGGAAGACCTTCAACAACAAGCTTGTGGAGGAAGGAAGGATAAGTGCGGTTACCACTCTTGTCTAAAAACAGTGATCCTCCTAGTGCTAACCACATGTATGCAATATAATGGACACTGAAGGGTCTCTGCGCCTCCAAAGTCGTCGTACCAAAAATCCTCTCAGTCAGCACCCCACTACCCTGCCAAATGGTTTTTGTTTCGGGGTTTTCTGATGTCCTGCGGGAGAGTTACAACACCGAGACTGGAACCGGCCGCCTGTACCTGCAAAATAACGGAGACTCCTGAGAGCTCCGCCTCCAACGGTCAAGTTAGTATCTGATTAAGGAGTAATTAATACGGAAATTAAAGTGGTTTAGTCTCTCTAGGTGAGAGTGTTTAAAGTATAATCCGTGTGCTATTAGAGTTCTCTCTCTCTCTTAATGAGGATTAAGAGGAGTATTTATAGTCTTGAGAAGCGTGCCACTCTCTAGGTTTAGGGTAAACCTAGGGCTGACCGGGCCTCTAAACAGGATTGGGCCTTGGTGGCCGGTTTTCCCATCTGGCATGGGTGGACACATGGCGTGTCTCAATTGGTCCGCAGAGGACGTATCTGTGATTGACACGTGGCAGGCTCCTATTGGCCTACGTGAAGGACACGTGGCGGAACCTGGTTGGTCCACTTGTCAGACGGTGATTGGAGGATAAAAATCCCCTAATTAGTTTTAGTATTGCACTTCTCATTCAACTCATCCGCAGTCATATCCATGGTAACCGAGCACGCGTCCCGTGTGGCGTCCGTGCTAGGAGTAGTGGAAACCATGGAACCATCAACACGAAACCCAAGAATATGGTACACATCGTGCAGCATGATCGTGATCTCCCCAAATGGCATATGAAATGTGTTCGTATCTGGCTGCCATCTCTCAACAAAAGCAGAAATCAACGGCCAGTCGAGACGCTTAAACATAATCCCGGGTAAGTGAGACAGACCACTGTCATCAATCAATTCGAGGTGCTCCTGTGCAAGACGACCTTGCCAATTAACCAATTCAGAACACAACTGTGTCCTACTAAAACAGGGCAAAACATTTCGCTCCTGCCCGCCCCATATATATGACGCCACGTGACCACCAAAACTAGGGATAACAGTCCCATCCTCAGGACCACCTAGCATCGGCTGCTGCACTAACCATGTCTTTGCTGAGCTGGTAGTAGGTTGACTCGCTTGACTACTAGCAAATCTCCCATGCTGACCCTTATATACCGTATGATAATCCTGAGGGTCCAACTCTTCGTCTCGATCATCATGACTTGCCCGCTTTTCGTCCTCATCGTCAGATGTAGGCAGTCCACCCGGTGGTACATGGGGCGGCTCCCTTGTGACTGATGCTCTCCCGACCAACTATTAGAGACCCATACTGCTGCTCATGACGAAGCAGTGCCCCCGTAATTCCTGAACGACATGACTCCCTCCTAACAGCCGCATTTAAACGTTGTGGTATTGCATAACGAGCACTCTATTAGGTTTTCTAAACAGCAATTACAACAAGTAAATACTTAAACAATTGTGGGAACAAACCTAAACATGTACAATAATAAAATCATACACAATTCCAATACTAATCAAAGTATTACAAGCAAGGCAATATTAAATAAATGAATTACAAAAATTCAAATGACAAATCCTAATGTGAAAGATTACAAACTTGCCTCACTTCCAAGCCTTTTCCAACGAACATGAACACGAGAATACCGGTGACCACTTGAGTCTCAAACCTTGATATAATGTCTTAGGCGTGTATACACTTTCCTAAAGAGATTAATTTCCCCCACAACGGTGCTTGGGTTAAACCGGAAATTCTCTTTGAGATACAAAAGACACTCAATCCGTTCTTAGCACAAAGAAACGAATAAGGATGATTAATTCACAAAGGAAGGCTAAATTTCAAGAGGTTAATCTTTCAATAGTTTGTAAGAAGATTGAAAGAGAATAAGAGAATTATTTTATGGAGAGGATCAACAAATGCTCTGAATATTTTTCTGTCTCTTTCTTTCGTTTTTCACGAAATTCCCTCTTTATATGAGGGTTAACCGTTAGAAAATAACCGCAAAACAGGCAAATGGCGCGGGCGCGACAAACACGGCGCGGGTGCGCCACAGCGAGGAGCGGGGGCTTCTCACTTTGGCACGGGCGCGCCTCACAGAGGAGCGGGCGCTCCTCTTTCAGGAGCGGGCGCTCCTCTCCAGAATATGCATTTGATGAAATTTTACAGTCAGGGGCGCGGTTTAAGCGCGACCAGAGCGCGGGCGCGCCATATGTTGCGCAGCCGCGCCTCTCACTTTCATCTTCCATGCTGAAATCCAGAGAGGTACGCTGTTTAGGCGTGCTCTCATTGCGGCCGCGCCTACCAGGCGCGATCGCGATTTACATGGGCGCGAGCGCACACCATACAACACTCTAAATTATCTAACACACTCGAACCCTCAATCTTTATTAAATAAGTACAAAATCAAATATCAATAATAATTACAAATATAATTATTTCATTAAAGTTGAACAACAAATATTAATATTCAAAAAAAATAATTTCAGAACAACACCATCACCAACAACATTATTAAAAATAATAAGGACGATAATAATAATAATAATAATAATAATAATAATAATAATAATAAATAATTACAATAATATAACAATAACAATAATAACAATATTAATAACAATAATACAAAACAACAACAATACTAAAAATAACAACAGCAACAACAAGAACAACAACAACAATAATAATAATAATAATAATAATAATAATAATAATAATAATAATAATAATAACAACAACATTAATAATAATAACATTACTACTAATAATAATAATATTATTAATCATTTTTGAAAAAAAATTTAATCACGAAAAAAAAGACTTCCGCCTGAAATTTCTAGATGAATCAAGGAGGATCTGTCTGAAATTTTCGGATCCTCCTTGGTTCATCCGGAAATTTCAGGAGGAACCAAGGAGTTGCGATTTTTTTCTACTTTTTGGGAGTTTTTAAATATCGCCCACATTTTTTCTACTTTTTAGCAGTTTACTTTGGGAGTTGTTAAATATCGCCCACATTTTTCTACTTAAAGCCCACATTTTGTAAGACTTTGACAATCTTGCCCGTTTCTTAATTTTTACTGAAAACGAAATTTTCTCTCACAAAAAATGTGGGGTAGCACTGGATCGCCGCGGGAACACCGAAGAGCCGTCATCGTCGGCGAGATGCACCGGAGAGCCGTCATCGTCGCCAGAAAACGAGGTACTTAGCCGTGTAAAAGTACGAATTGGTGGCGGACGTCTTGCCGGGACGCCGCCGCCGTGGAGGTGGCGCCTGGTCGGGACGCCGCCACCGTGGCAGGGGCGCTTGGCCAGGCACCCCAGTCACGGTGCTGGCGTCCCTGCCAGGCGCCACCACCACGAATTCTTTTTTTTTTGTTTGTTTTTTTTTTAATTTTATTTAAAGTTTTGTTTTTGTTTTTGTTTTTGTTTTTTGTGTTTTTTTTTGTTTTTTAATTTTGATAAATTTGAAATTAAATATGTGTGAATAATTTTTTTTTTAAAAAAAATAAAAAATTTAAATTGAAATTATGTTTGAAATATGTGTGAATAATTTATAAAAAAAAAAACAAAATTATGGTTTATTTTGAAATTATGTTTTAATATGTGATAATAATTTCAAAAAATAAACAAATTTATGTTTAATTTGTATGTGTGAATACTTTTATATATAATTACGTGTTAATTTTGTGTTAATTATGTGTAAATTTAGAAATTAAATGTATTATGCGTTAAATATAGAAATGAATTTTAGAAATTTAAAATTTTGAAATTACTTATGTGTTAATTTTGTGTCAAATGTATTAATTTAATCCTTATGTAATTATATTTATATGTCATTGTTGTAGGATTATGGTGGAGACGGAAATGATTATGGTGGGATTTTTGTACATGATGGTCTGTTCGAAGATGCTCAACAAGCGATTGATTGAGCAAAACAGGTTGCAATTAGAGTAGGTTTTTGTTTAGTAGTAGCAAGTCATAAATCTCAACGGGATGGTAGAATGGATCGCATTTTGAGATGCGACCGTTATCGCAAAAGGGAGTACGAGATTTCAGTCAAGCGATTCGGTTTGATACAAAGCGGAAAGGTTGTGGGTGTTAGTTCAGAGTAAATGTTCGACAACAACAAAGGCGTGACAGTTGGGAAGTGAAGGGTTACGGTAAATGGGGGTATCACAACCATGAGATGATAGTATATGAAGTGGGTCATCGACAGTTAAGCGGCCTAAGTCCTGCTGCGAAACTAGTTGTAAGAGAAATGAGTGATGTTCAAGTGAAGCCTGCTAAAATATTAGCATATGTGTTAGAGAAATTTCCTGAAGACCAGCCAAATCGAAGACACATCTACAACGTCAGACAGAAATTGAGGTTTGAACAGTCAGAGGGAAGGAACCCTATACAGCAGCTTCTACACCAAACACAAGCACGTGGTTACCTGTACTGGTTTGAATCTGATGAAGACACATTCGGAGGTGACTCATTTGTTCCTTGTGCATCCTGATTGTGCTGATATTATTTCGTCTTGGCCATTTGTGATTTTGATCGATTCAACGTACAAGACAAACAAGTACAAGTTCCCACTGGTTGAGATGGTTGGGATGGCTCCAACAAACCAGAACTTTCTGATTGGTTATGCAGTCATGAAGGATGAGACGGCTGCGAGTTACCATTGGGTGTTGGAGAAGTTGAGAAATTACATCGGCCCAAATGTTCAGCCATCGGCCATCGTCAGTGATTGTGAGGGAGGTCTCTTTGCCCCTATAGCGGAGCTGTTTCCGGAGTCGAGCCATTTACTGTGCACATAGCACATCAACAACTGTGTGAAAGTCAAAGCCTACAACCTTTTCAACAAGAATTTAGATTCAGCAGAGAGATTGGTAAATGGTAAGTGGCGGAAGATCTTGCAAGCTACCACAGAGGCAGAGTACGATCGAGCCTTGGATAACTTCAAGGATGCGTACCAGTGGTGCCCGACAATGGTAGACTATGTGATGTAGCAGTGGATACCTCAGAGAGAAAAGTTTGTCAAATATTGGACAAACCAAGTTCTTCTTTTTGGAAACACTACAACATGTAGAGTTGAGAGCGCTCGTAGAGCTTTGAAGGACTGGATTGATTCTTCTACCTCTGCTCTAGATACACTGTTCGAGAGAATACACAAGGCTATTGATACTCAGAAAAATGGCATCAAGAACTCTCTCGAGGACTCTAGACGTCGACATGGCATGATGTATGGTCATTTCATATTTAAGATTCTCCATGGTCGTGTGTCACACTACTGCTTAGGGTTGATTCTGAGCGAGCACAACAGGATGAGAGAGTTGGGTGATGAAGTGGCTATTCGGTGTAGATGTGCTATATCAGTGACTCATGGACTACCTTGTGCATGCACCATTCACCGCGTAATTACGCAAGATAGGGCGTCGTTACATGTTGATCAGGTTCATCCATTCTGGCGGACGCTCGTTATTGGAGAGCATGTTGTTCCCCAGACGGTCCACCGTGAACAGGAGGAGTTGGAGCAGTTTCGCTCGATATTTGACCAAGTGTCCTCCAGCCACCCTTCAATTTATTCGTAGTGCTACCCACGTACTTCATGACATGTTCAACACGTCGTGCTTAGATCACGAGGAACCTGAAGGGGTCGACAACCACGGCGGAACATGAGTGCGTTTGAGTACATTCGTGGTCGTGGCCGTGGTCGTACATCGTCATCAAGTGGTAGCCAATCTTCTTCGTCGGTGAATATGCCCGACACCGGTATAGTACTTTACTTTAATTTACTTTTTAGAATGTTTGTTTAGTTTACTACTGACTTGTTAATTGTGTTTATTGATATGTGCAACAGGAAGAATGGACATTGAACATTTTCCATATAAGGACATGATCCCTAACATCATGATGCCTTTCTTGGACAGGTGAAATGATGTGGTTTTAGATGGTAACTGCGGATTCCGGGTTGTGGCTAATGTGTTTAAGATGGGTGAAGACAACTACGGTTTAGTGCGTCAGTTGATGTACAGTGAAATCGCCTCAAACCGAGCTGTTTATCGCCATGTGTACGGCCATGACTTGGATAGGTCTCTGCAGCGTATCCGGTGGGGAGGAGGACTTTGCGGTCAAAATCATTGGTTCGACGCGCCACTTGATCTCTTTGCCGTTGCAAACATCTACAATTATGCAGTCATGCATTTCGGCTTTGGTTTGCATAGTCGAGCTTATTATTCATGTACCACGGTTCTCCCTTGGTGTTCGCGTGAGACCGTCACTAGACCGGTAAGAGAGGTTGCTATTGCATTTCTGGGGTCGTCATACAGACATTTCATCCGATTGGACTTGTCATCCGATTTTCCGGTCCCACCGATCATACTTTGGTGGTACACCATTTGTAGAACAAGCGTAGAAGGTTGGGATGCGTTGTATCATGCCCGGATGCAGCAGTGGAACAACTTAGTTGCCATTTAGTTTTTCACGCGTATGCCTACCTTTTCTATGTAACCTTGTATGTTTATTGCTATTTTTTTCCATTTATTTATTTTTCGTATTCTAATTTTGACTAAATTTATATCTTGCATGCACACTAATAAGATCTTGCACGTTATAAACTAAAAAGATAATGTCAAATTTTAAAAACTTAAAATAATAATTTCAAATGTTACAAACTAAAAAGATAATGTCAACTTTTACAAACAACTATTATAATGTACAAAATGTTCTATAAATAAAATGTCCACAGATCAGTAATCCCTCTGTGACGCCCACTGCCACTGCTCAAGGGCTCGTTCCAGATCATCAATAGCCGCTCTGCCTGATACACTCGTCATGCTGTCCCTCGCCTCAAAAATTATGTGTCCCACTTGCATCATCTTTCCCATCCACTACACACAACAAAACACATGAAATTATATAACGACGTATTATATAAAAAAAAACACAACAACAAATGTTTTATGAGACGTACCGCATCCACGGCAGTGGGCGGTGGCACATCATCATCATCGGCGTCGTCGCCGTGGTGGAGGTCTCTGATCAACCTCAGGTGCGAATACCGGTTGTACCATTCCATGTAGTACTGGTCACACAGGGCAGTCACCCTAATTGGCGGTCGCTGCAGCTCCTTTGTCCATAGGCGGGCAACCATCGGAAAGTGTTCCCACGTGGCAATCATGCTTGCCGGCCATTGGACGACATACTCCTTCGACGACGCAGATCGGACCGCCTTACTGGGCCATGCTGGTGGAGGAGGAACAACTTGGACAAATCCAAGCTGGCGAAGACAGCGCTGCGGCATGTACGCCTCTACGATCTCACGATACTGAATCAGTCCCGTGTAAAGGGTCCTGGGTACCCTATTACTAGGGTTCCGGCCGAAAGGCATCCAGTTCACCTGCACATTTTTTAAAATTAGTAAGATTCATATAATAAACGCATCAAACTATAAAAGTAGAAATAATTTAAACACTTTACCTCTAATGGGGACATCCTGTCAAGCAATAACCGTATCGATCGCAGGCGGTCAATGGACTTCTTATCGAAACGCGGACTCCACGCATAGGCACGTGGCTGCCCATCCCCAATAGGAACGGGGTCGCGGTGTGGTCGAAACGCAGGAAAATACTCGTATATCAAGGTTTGTAACAATGTCAGACATCCAGTGATACCTGCCGCATTAGCCCGACTTGAGAATCCTAACTGGCGATACATATACGCCAACGTAGCCGACCCCCAAGAAAACTGGCCTACTATGTCGGGCTCACACGCGTCAACTATGTCGCGTGGCCTGAGCTTGTTTCCACTCTTATCCGGAAACAAGGTACACCCGAGAAGAAGAAAAACATATGCAGCCAGCTGTGTGTCCTGCATCCTACGTGCAGTGGGGTGCAAACATCGCTACAAAACGGCTGCGATCTTAACACCGCCGTGATCCCACATACCAATTGCCGCTGTGTACAGCGCATCCCTATCCACCGCCAACAGCTCCGCTAGTAAATCTGCCTGATCCGCATCAGTGACAATAGATACTCGGTTTCCCTCTACGGGAATCCCAAGGATGGCTTCGACGTCATGCAACATGATCGTCATCTCACCGAACGGAAGGTGGAAAGAGTTCGTATCCGGCTGCCATCGCTCAACGAAAGCCGTGATCAGCGTCGAGTCAATCCTTTCGTGCATGGTGGCAGGAAGGTGACTCACTCTAGTGCCCCTCAATCGGCCGAGCATCTCGCTCTCCTCCGGCCAAGCATCAGCCCAACTACGCAAAAAGTTACAAGTCTTTTCCCGGGTTTGGCATTTCAAAATGCCTGTATCCAAAGCCCTTTCCTGGTCCTCCCAGATACGGGTAGTGGTGTGTCCTAGAAAGCTAGGAATCACACTCCCGTCTACAGGTCCCCCAGCCACCTCACCCCTCACCACCCAAGATTCATTAACGGCCCTCGACCCTTTTATGCTTACCGCAGACACTGTGGACGCAGATGATGTGCCAGATCTACTAACAAATCTACCATCTCTACCCTTACGCACATCTACCCTATGCGTCTCATACATATCATCAAGTCTTTGACTGAATGGACTGTAATCATCATATGATCCACTCTGATCGTCCACATCCTCAACTGCATCCTCCTCCTCCTCCTCCTCCTCCTCCTCCTCCTCCTCCTCCTCTTCCTCATCACCATCATCATCTTCATCATCCTCAAAATAGTGCACCCGTTCTCTGCAAGCCGAGGCCGAAATACCACGGGATCTAACGTGTCTGGGCCCCGAGCTCTCCATTGAGTAGATCGTACTTCTCATAATGTCCATACTCTTCCCCGCACCAGGGCCAAAATGCGATGCCCAACTCCATTTAAATAACGAAAAATAATAGCAATTGTTATTATTATTATTATTATTATTATTATTATTATTAATCTATTTTCAGAAGTATCAACAACCTAAAATAGAAATAACTAACCAAAAAATTATCAAATAAACAAAAAAAATACTAACAAATTGACATTAAAAAGAAAAGTACACAACATCGAAAAAAAAAATTATATAAATTAGAAAATACACAAAAAACAAAAAAAAAATACCAAAACATATAATATCATCATAAAAAAAGTAAATAAAAATAAATAAATAAAACAATATACACATAAAAAACAAAAAAAATACCAAAACATACAATATGAACATAAAAAAAGTAAATAAAAATAAATAAATAAAACAATATACAAATAATGGAAAAAAATATAAACATAAAAAAAAATTAACAACCTAAAAAATAAAAAAAATAATAACCTAATAAATAAAAAAAACAAAACCAAAAAAAAAAAAAACTGGAAAAATATAATGAAAAAAAAATTAAAAAAAAAATCAGGAAAAAATTTAAAAAATAGATGAAAAAAAAGGAAGTGGCGCCTTACCCAGACGCCAATGCCACGATGGCGGCGCCTGGGCAGGACGCCACAGCCACGGAGGTGGCGTCTTACGTGGACGCTGCCACCGTGGCAGTGGCGTCTGGGTAAGGCGCCGCCACTGTGCTCCGCCACCAACCGCCGGTTTTATTTATATATTTTTTTTAAGTTTAAAAATACATTTCCACCGCGAAACCGGCTTCCTCTCGCCACTTCCTTGCCTTGCCGCCTCGACATTTTCAAAAAAAATTTAAGAGAGAGAAAATTAGAGTAGAGAGTAGAGAGAAGATGAGAGTGTGTTTTTTACTTTGAAGGCAAAAGTAGAAAATGAGAGTAGAGAGTAGAGAGTAGAGAGAAGATGATAGTGTATTTTTTTACTTTGAGGGCAAAAGTGTCATTTCACTTCTAATTTGTGGGCTTTATGTATTTGCGGGCGATGTTTAGTAGTTCACTTTTTTTTTTCGATTTAACCCCATACTTGCTCGCCTCCACTGCTGCCGCCTCGACAACCGTACGTCACCCGGATTCGCCGCTGGTCTGCCATCGCCGAATTTCTCCTCCCTTCCTTGGATTGGTGGCTGTCGGTGGTGGGTTGTGGAGGTTTGTATTTTTTTGTGGTTTTTTTTTTTGATTTTCAGTGTTTACTAATTTTTTTTAAAAATTTTAGAGAGATAATATGAGAGTGAAATATGATTTCAGAAATGAGTGTTGTGAGTGTCGTGAGTGAGTGCCATGAGTATTTATATACGAGGGTAAATACGGACAAGCAAAAAATGTGAGCGGTGCCCAGTAAAATGGGAGCGACGTTTAACAACCCCTTTTTTTTAGTCCCTGATTTTAACTAATAAATTCATTATATCCAAAATCACTTTAAGAATGAGGCAAAAACATAAATAGCCTGATACCTTATAATTATCAAAGAGAGGATAAAGTCATAGATAGAGAATAATTAACATTGTAATTAGAACATGCCTTTAACAATGGATAGAGCAGAAACTTTTCTCAAGCCTTTAATCGTCTAGAAGAGTTTTTGCAAGTATGGAATAAAAAAAGAACTAATTCGGGTAAAATAATAAATTTTGAGACATGATTCAGATTCAGGATAACACATGAATCAAACACAATGCAGCGTGAGTGCGTGACCTAAGCATATGTATTAGCAAGAAATGAAATCTTTAGAATTGTAAAATTACGTTTAAAGCTGAATATGTCATACCTCAAGGGATCTAATCATGTTCTTAAGCTCAGTTGCAACCTCCACCATTGTTGGCCTGCAGTCTTCTTCTTCTGAGAGACACCTGATTGCAAGCTGTGCAGATGCTCTCAGTTGGAGGTCCTCAATACTTGTCACCCCGTTTCTAGTAATTGTAGGATCTACAATCTTGTTGACATGATTGTTTTTTACGCCATTCCGTACCCAAGAAATAATATCAAGTTCTTCCTCTTCTGTTCGAGAGAAAAAATAAGGCCTCTTTCCTGTCAAGAGCACAAGAAAGAGCATACCAAACGAAAACACATCCGTACTCTTTGCTACTTTACACTTCATAGAATGTTCAGGTGCTAAGTAGCCAAAAGTCCCTAGTATTTTATCAACTTTAATAAATTCTTCACCTTCAGGAATAGATACACAAAAACTGAAGTCTCCTAATTTGACAGCATTGTCTTGGTTCAAGAACACATTATGAGGTTTCAAGTCCCTGTGAATGATGGGCCTTGGAAAAGCAGTATGGAGGTAGGCAGCAACATGAGATATCTCCCACGCAATCCTTAGCCTATCCTTCCACTCTAATACTGCTTTGCTTTGATTCGCATAATTAGGACATATACGATCTTGAAGAGTATTGGGCATCCACTCATAAACAAAAACAGGGAGATCAGTCTCAAGGCAACATCCTAATATTTTATGGGCATTGTTATGAGTAGCCATTTGTGTGGCTACCACAATTTCACGCAAAATGCGTTCAGCACAATCATAACGACATTGATGCTTTTTTACCAAGACAACTCTTCCTTCCCAAGATCCTTGGTACAAGTTACCCTCACTATAACATGAAAGTCGTTCCACATTCATGTTGTTGAGATCATCAACTGAGAGATGGCGAACAGGATTCGCCTTACCATGAAACAAGGCAATGCTTTCTTCAAGTAACCATGCTCCATTCCTAACAAAATTTTCTTCGTTTCCACTGAAAATCATGTATTTGTCCCTTCCCTGCATCAACCACACCCCAACTATTATGGTGACAATAACTAATATTTATAAGATCAGTGAAAAGCTGTTTTCAGTCAAACTTAAAGTCTTTTTGGTAGAGTTTTAGTTTACTCTTTAATACCTTATGAGTCATTTTGTTTTTCAAGCGAGTAAGCATGTTTGGCTTCTCAATCTTTGCCATTTTATTTTTGTATAATCTTTGCCAATTGAACCACCTTCTGAGTTTTGACCTTGATCTGTCACAATTTCAATCATTATGTAAATCTCACTAGTTTAATTACGTACGTCACCAAAAAAAAATATAAATAAAATTTGGGAATTAAAAGGAAATAATATGGAAATTTGAAAAAAAAAAAAAAAAAAAAAAAAAAGATAAAGGAACTATTGAAGATAAAACAAAAATAAAACTTATCAAGGAACCATTTGTCAATTACAGTATGTAGTAGCTTCAACTATTAAACAAAAAGGTAACAATGGATCATTTTCTTAAAAAAAATTGAGGTAACAATGGAAATTGAATATATCGTTTTAGGCAAATATTTTGATTAGAATAGAGCTTACAAATTAAAACAATACAGAAATTAGAGATACCTTTGGAATGATTGTAGCCTTTCTGCAAAATCAATTTGATTAGTTGAACTGTTGAAGGGTTCAGTGGATCACCATTCACAGCTAAACATTAAAAAAGGCAGCAACTTTGTTTTTTACTAGTATAATTTTTCTAAAGCTAATTTCCAGGAAATGAGAATACATATGAATGAAATAATGAAAAGTCCATAACGACGGCAAACTTGACTTGAAGAAACTTGACTTAAAGTCAACCGTAACTTCATTACTCATTTACTCTGGAGTACAAAGTACGGGTAGGAATGCGTTAAATCCAAATTAATCCGCATTTGATTACTCAGCTTCAAATAAAACTCTATGCAAAACCATTCACTCAAATTTTAATCAATTTAAAGGTGTTATGGATAACTTGATCAGATTTAATGAAGTCGGGTCCAATTCAAATTTGAATATGCTAATTATTATGTATACATACGAATCAAAAATTAAATTAGGTTCTTATGAGTCAATTTAGATCATGTTGGTCAAATTAGTTTGGGTGGCTAATCATTTCTTAACAACTTGCATGATGTCCTAATAAGTTGAACGCACTTTTTTCTAACCACTGAAATAGCAGCTACTCAAGTAGTGTTAGCAGAGAAGCATATGGATAAGAGTTTAATGAAAATAATTAATAATAAGGAAAATGCTACTAATATTGGCTTCTCATAACTTCATCAGTGCCATCCTCTTCAAGGCTTTCAAGAATTACATTTTCCTCAAACCTACTTATAGATTCTCTCCATAATTTGTTGTTATTGACAAAGGTGACGCTGCAAGATAACCGGTTTATACTATGAAGATTGAAGAGTTGATGGTATTATACTAGCTTTGAGGTGGATAGTATTGAATGAATCCCAATCAATTCTAGAGACTATAATAACACATGAAATGCTTTCAATTCCTCATCAACATCGCAGTAAACTGAGTTCCAAAGAATGCCCCCTAATAAACTGAATTTCTGATTCATGCAATAATAAGATATTCCAAAGCATCATGGTGGACCTGGGCATCTCCGGAAGCAAATATGCGATAATAAGTTGGACCTGCCACACCAATAGACTTATGATATTAAGGAATTCCATTTCAAACTACTAGTCTACAATACAAGTTGAGTATTGTCAACCAGAAAAATTTATAAAAACGAACTTTTTCACATTGAAATGAAAGAAATTTTTACAGTAAATTACCTATGGACATTGGAGAAGCTTGCCACCTTAATTTCTGACCAGCCCAATCAGTTATAATACCTCCAGCTCCTTCTATGATTGGTATAAAAGCGAGAAAATCATATGGCTGCAGAACCATCATTTTAAGTTGGACCTGCAACACCAATAGATTTTATGATATATAGATTACATAGAGAGAGGGTTGGATCCGTAGAGAGAATATCACTCACACCAAGAAAAGACTGGGCAATGACATCGATAAATCCAGAAGCTAAGAGTCCATAAGTAAAGCACTCAGCACCACATATTAAACGAACATCTAACAGAAAAACAAACTGGCAAGATTGGTTTACATGTAATCAATAGCTAAACAGATTAACCTTCTCAGTTTACAAAATCATAGAAAGCCTTCAGGAGAGTATGGTTATCTTAAAAGGTTGATTAGAAACTATGGAATACTGGAAGCAGGATAACTAAAACAGGTTTTAGTTTGAACCAAAAAGAGTTGCAATTCACCATACTCATGAAGAGTTACCGACTTTCTGTTAAATTGCCAGTAACTTTAGGCTCTTTCAATCAAACTTCAAAAAACCTCATAATAACCATAAAAGATATTTCTCCAAGCACTGTGACCTTAGCCACCTTCTTCTTATATTTATACATTTGTGTTCAGGAGATCCATATAACTTTGGAGGTTCTAGTAGACCACAAATTAATAAAATTAACTAATTATATATGGAACTGTTATTAATATCTTGATAAGATCGAACCATGAATACTCAACTACACACCTTTTCTGTGACAACGGAGGAAGTACTCTCGTTCTTCATCACCAAAATGCAGTGGGCTAGATGCGTATCTGAAATGAAACAAATTCAAAAGGCAGAAGTAAGCCAATAAACAATAACCAAAAAAGAAAAAGAGGATTAAGCAAATCATACATATAAGAATATAAGTTAAACATCACCAAGTTCTAGAGATCTGAAAACTTTGAAATACCAGACAAGTTTTTTCATATCAAACCAACAGATCAAGTAATTAAACAAGAATATACTAAGTACAAAGGCTACTTCCCACAGAAAACAAAACAAAAAAAAATGCCCTACTAAAAAAATTAAGAGGGAGATTCATTCCAAAACTTAAGAGAACATACAGTCAACAAACTGTATCAGTGTATATCTTTCATCATCATAGTATTATTTTCCCGAATCTATGGTAAAGTAACATTTTATTCACATTCAGTTTAGTCTTTTAGATTTCAGAAAGGAACAGTCAAATACTAGAAAGCAAGCAAGACCGAGTTCAGGAATTTCTGTTCTCAAATCTCAATACGTCTTTATAGTAAATATTTATAGATCACTAGTGTTTATGAGATTGTCCATTCGTATGAAATGATCCACGACTGATTAAGAGGGGAAAGAAGCAAGGTGGCATAACAATTTCGAAACATTGAGCTATCATGGCTCACACGCTCAGTAAATTTTTTTATTCCTTGAAAGGAAAAAATTGACTTACAGTCACTAAGGTGAAGTGGTAAACATAATCAAACATAATTAAAAACTCAAACTCGACTCGAAACTTGAAAAGTCCACTTTAGCCTGACGACCTTTTACAAATTTGACTATTTGAGCATGAGATCTGATGTTAAGTCTCCACCCGAACCCAAAATCTTGATCACCTTGTACGAACGGATCGGACAGTAATTTTTACCCAATTATCCATTTGTCACCTCTACTTTTGCCAAAGTCCAACACCCGCGCTCCAAAACTCTCTTTCTCACACCCCCATTTTCTGCTGCTCCAGTTATCCAGCGATGGCGGAAACCACCTGATACATACTACTGTAGTTGCCTCTTCATCTCTTCAGCTACACTCACTACTTTCTCAAGATGCGCTCCAAAGATAAAATCTCTTACTTCTACGATGGTATCTTTCTGAATCCCCCTTTTTTATCCGATTGAAACCCTAACTTTTCTCTCTCTTCCATTTTTTCATTCGAAAATTCATATATTTGTTGTAATTAATCGTTTCAATTGTTTTGCAGGTGATGTTGGTAGTGTATATTTCGGGCCGAATCATCCGATGAAGCCTCACAGATTATGTATGACCCATCACCTTGTTCTGTCCTACGACCTTCACAAAAAGATGGAAATTTATGTAAGTGCCATAATTTTTTGGGTTTATTGATTTTATTTTTGGAATTTCTGTGTTTTCTTGCTCATTATATGTGGTTTTTGTGGAGTTTGTACGGTGCAGAGGCCTCATAAAGCGTATCCAGTAGAGCTAGCGCAGTTTCATTCGGCTGATTATGTCGAGTTTTTGCATCGAATTACGCCCGAAAAGCAGCATCGCTTCATGACTGAAATGGCCAAATGTATGCTTGCTTTTAAGTTTTTTTTATGTTGAGCTTTGTTGTATATTTGAGTTTGTTGGTGTGACATTGGAAAGTATATAATGTGTTTGTTGTGGTTATTTCATTGATTTGATGTACTGCTAGCGCTTATGCCGGAGTAGGAGAATTGACTGGCTGAGGAATGTGATTAGTGATGTTTTTTGAGAAGTATATGAAAAATTGGCTAACTGAATCCAGCTATACATTTTAGCATAAAGAAATCATTTTTCTTTAGTTTTTCCCAGTTAGTCAATCAAATATTAAATTGTCCACAAGAGGGTATCATTATGTGCCTTAGATTTAAATTGTGCTTTTAGTTGAGTATGATTGTTTTTGGTACTTTTCCCATGTTCTTTTTGTTATATACTCCCTTTGCTTATAAAGGTTGTTCTTGGTACAGTTTTAGTACTAGCCTTGAATTGTGTGTGCCTCAAAAAGAGGCAGAGATAGTATTTAGAGAGGTAAAATGCTTTCCGACCAATAGTAAACATTAATAATGTTGAAAAATAAAAGAAACAATCGAACGTAGTCAAGGAGGGTTCCACTATGTTTGGATAGAGAGAAATGGAGGGAAAGGAAGAGAAGAGAAAAGGAGGGATACATCCTCCTTTGTTTGGATATCTAATGCTAGGAGAGTAGGGGAAGGAATTAGAAGGATCCATTTTCCTTTGCGTTTTAATAAACCAAATCTCTCCATTGATGGAGAGATTTGGAAGGAAAATGAAAGTTCACCTTCTCCCTCACCTCATTTTCCCTTCCCTCTTTTTCTTTCCTCTTCCTTTCCCTTCACTATTGTTATCCAAACATAGTGTTTGTATATCAAACAATGCCAATGGGTTGGATAATGAACTATCATATTTAAGGCATTAGCATACTTTGGATTATAAATATGCTCTTGAGAGGTGAGGAGCATTTGGCTGTGTGAGGAGGTTGTGGAGTATAGTAATGAGAATGACATTATAATTTTATATTGCAAAAATGTAACTGAAGTTGTAAACACCTTGTCTTACAAAAATGTTAAGTTTCTTGGTATGCTAATACTAATGCATTTTTTTCCCCTGTTGTTAAGTTGATGATTAAAAGTACAAATGGTTGGAATCCTTTATGCAATTGCACGCTGTAGAAACAGCATTGAAAATTGAAATTATGAGCCAATTAGTTGCTGTGCTCATAGAATATTCCTTGAGGTTAAAGTACATTTCCCTAAATTAATTTTGTTTGCATAGGAACCTGGTTGTTGTTGAATTCAGTTAGCCAGATTAAGTGGTCAAGAAAGAGAGGAGGGGAGAGGGGTGGGGGGGGGGGGTTGTGTGGGGGTTGCTGTCCTTGCTGATACTTTATACTCTATTTGGAACCTGCTCGTAAGCTGCTTTCTCATTACTCAGTACATGTTTCCCTTGTACTGGACATATCCGGACCCATAATTTGCATATTGCACTGCTAATGTGGCAACCCTTAATTTTCCAAAGATTTAATAGGTGGTGCCGTGGTGGGTAGGGTGTATCCTTCCTTTCCAAGCAACTACATACCCTTTCTTCAATAGATTAGTTCAGTGAATCACGAGATTGTGTGATTTTTTATTTTATTATTTTTAGCAAGAATGTGGAATAGGGGAACTGGGCTAGTACTGTAGTAGGCGTATTTTTTTGCTTGAAGTTTTGAGTCTTCTTAACAACTTTGGTACATACTTTTTAAACAGAAGTGATTCTCTACTAATTTATTTGTCATTTGAACCTTCAAGGGGAAGAACTGTAAATTTTTATTTGATATGTAAAATATGACGTGGAATGAACTATCATATTGGGACCTATATTTTTTTTGGGCATGGATATTTAGTTGTGGATATCAGCTTTTCCATATCTTTTTTTTTTTTTTTTTTTTCATCACAAGCAAGTGGGATAATATTAACTTAACTCTTTTCCATATCTAGTCCATTTAGAAATGTGGAACCTTTTAGTCTTGCAATTTCCTGTTTGTATTCATATCCCACCAGTGTTTAGACTGTGAATCCTTTAGTTTCAATACTTGTTATAAGTTATTAGTTTCCCAGACAATTTGTGATTGATAAACAAGATGATTGGTAATATTTCCCTCATTATTTTGTTTCCCCGCTTTTATTTCTCTATCTACATCAAATACTTATTTCTTCTTCCTCTTATGATCTTTCTATCAAGGGAGTCGATAAGGTTCTTAAGGGGACGATATAAAGAAGACTTGTAAATCGTCACTAATACTATAGTCTTCCTTTTACATCATGGGGGGTTTAGGAGTATTATAATTGTCCTTTAAATTGTGAAACTGTTCTTTGATTTTGATCTCTTGAAGTGCAAGTATTGTTTGATTCAATGATTCCCTTGTCCTTTGACATTTTTTTTTTGCTTGTAGCTTAGCTCTGCATTAGCTGCAGAGGCCATTCTAAGAACTCACAAGTAGACAATTGTCCATATTGCCACTTTCATTTCTCATTTATTCTATTCTTGTGCCCACCCTTTTTTTGGCCTATGCGCTCTATCTTCTGGTTAGACCTTTGAGGTTATCCTACGCATAGATGGATGTGAATCTTTTGATTTGTCATTTGAGAACTTAAAATGATTGGGGATTTGCTATGACTAAGGATCAAGGAATGAAGCCTAGCAAAAGCTTTATGGATGGTGGGGGTATGTGGTAATGGCACAATGGTTTTAAGGAACTCTTGGTTCTTTTTTTTGTTTGTTTATTATTTTTTTTTTTTTTTATAATTATAATTATAATTTTTCTTATAAGGGGAGTAGATTGGTAGAGTACTAGAGTCGAAGCTTTTTGGTACTTAAAATGGGGATTTTAGGAATCAGGGTTGCTGTCAAGAGAGAATAGGGTTTCAATTGTTGTTCTAGGAGAGGAATCGGCTGATGTGAGGGTGGATTTTAGGTGGCACTTGAAAGGGTGTTGGGTGATGTGATGGCTAATGGTGGTAAGGGTGGCGAGTTCTCAATCTAATGGATTAGGCGATTAGGTACCTAAATAGATGTTTGTAACTATGAACCATTTCTTAACTTCTAAGATGATTGTGTGAGTGTTTTCTAGATTTAAGACTTGATGGAGAATCTTTTGGGTGGCTAGGGTTTAATTAGATATGGAGTAGTAAAGAAGGCTGTTAAGATACTATGTGAGGCAGCAGAGACATTGGTGCTTAAGCAATTTGTGTGATATAGTGAGTGGATTTACTTGACTTGATGTGCAATGACCGCACCATTACTAAGTCCATAAGTAATGCAATTCAAGGGTTTTTAATTAATGTAGTCAATGATAAGGGTAAAGTTATAGATTCATGATTTATAAGGGATTAAGGGTCTTAGCTATTCATGAGGTATAAGGGTAAAGTTATAGTATTCTATTCTCTCAGCAATTAAAGGGCTGAGCATAGCTTTTTGTCTTTGTTTAGTTAAGGAGCATGAATATTCTATTCAATAGAAGTGGCTTTTAGTATTAAATTCAAGTTAGTCTTTTTGATAACTATGTTAATGATGGTGAGATTTGCTGCTCACACTCTTCTAGAAGTGTCTCACACGGGTATGTGTCCACAAATGTCTGACATGGCCGTTTTATGTAAATTTTGGTCCAAAAATGATGTGTCATACTGTCATACTAATTAAGAGTTGGAGTAACATAGATGGTGGGTCTGATTCTAGTCCTGAAATTAATGATTCTTTGCTGTGTGGATGCTCTACTGATGATGACCCACACTAGGAGAAGCTTAGGGAATCTCCAATGTCAGGATCTTAATTCTTGGATTTGCTAAAAGTTTATTGGATGTATTTTGATGGTTCAAGCTCTGTAGATAAGCCAGCTATTGTAGGAATTGCTCAAATTTAAAAAATGGTACCGTTTTGCTACTTCAATGGAATGTTTGGGGTGGTACTGTCCTTTCATGTAATGTGTAAAGAGGCTAATGAAGTTGCACAGGATTTCTTAATAATACTGGGCTAGTGTTCTGTAAATAGCTAAGGTAATGGCTTATATGTTCCAGGGTTAAAGCGGCAAAGCCCTCAAAGGCCTGTGTCCCATGTTTATTCTTGAAAAAAATGGAATCTTGAATAAGAAACTGTTAAATCTTTGGGTAGCTTGTGAGGACTCCTAGTCTTTTCTTACTAAAGTATTCATATTTAAGAAATTAAGATCAAGAGTTGGTCTTCAACGTACATGGGTTACCCTTTGGAGAGGATAACTTCCTTTACAACTTTTGAGGTTGATTAAGATTTTGGTATCTTTTCGACTTTTCTCCTCAGGGTATGGTAAGGACCAAGGACCATTTAATGAGCTTGGACTTAGTTTATAAACTCAATTTTAAGGGT